GCCGAAAATGGATGTAAAGTATAAACGTAGATAAGACAATTGATTGACAGGCAACAGGGCTGACATCCCAAAGCGCTGTGAATCATAATTTGCTTTGTTGTCTTGTTTTGCGTCTCTCGTTTGACGGAACTTACGTTCGTTCCCCCTCAGCAAATCCCCGCTCCGACCCGTCTTTCCAACCATTCGAACTGTGAAAATTTTTTCAGCCAAAATACAAGCTGCTCTCAGCTGCCTATTACGTCTTTCGTTGCAGGCTTAAATGCTAGCCGACTAGTTACTATGGATCTGGTGGACATCGATCAGGTCCTGGACAATCTGGAAGCTGAGCTCAAAGGTGCGAAATTAGCTCTAATGTGTAACGGCAATTTTTGCTTAACTGTAAACTTTTGCAGCTGACGAACAATTGAGCCGCAATGCAACGAGCGCTGCAGCTGCTGCGAATGCAACTTTAAATGTAAATGTAGGCGGTGAGTCACGCCCATTGGGTGATGGCAGCGCTGGCGCAGCCAAAAACTTTGTGGGCGTCTCTCAGGTGTTCAATAGCCTCAACGACTATCGGAACAACGTTCAGTCGCTGGCCACCGGGATGCAGGCGCACGAGAGCTACAATTGGGAGATGGACGCAGCAGAGCAACGGGAGGTACAACAGCCCGAGCACGTTGAGCTGGAAGATGAGGTGGTAGAGCAGGAGGTGGAAGAGGACTATGAGGAAGAGGAGCTGGCCCGGCACGAGGACATCAACAAGTTTAGCGAGTCAAAGTCAAAGGATGGAAATGTCTCATCCAGCGAATCGCTAACCACCTCATCCTGCTCCACGTTCTCCTCGGGCCCGTCGCCCGGTAATGTGAGCAACTCGGAGGAGCAGGAGGAACTGAGCACACCACCCGAAAGCGATAAGCCCAGTGCCCTGGAGCTGCTGCCGCCCAAAGCGAACAGCGAACTGGATCAGCAGCCGGAACATCATGTGACTCCGTCAACTGTTGTGGAGGAACTGGCCACGGGTCTCTCCTCCATATCCATAACAAATACAAATACCACAGAATCGCAGTCGATCTTGCCCTGCGAGGTGACCGCCTCGTCTGCTCTGGGCAAGGTGCTCAACGAGCTGTCCGAGGAGACGAGCTCGGAGCTGGAGACGCAGAGTCAGGCGCGTGGCGGAGGTGACAACTTGCACAATATGCCAGCGGTAAGTGAAACGAACTTGGACACAAACAGAATTCTGAAACCGATCCTCACCAGGTCACCCAGCCAAATCCGGCTCAAGCGCTGCAGCCAAAGCTGCAGGCAGAACCGGATCTGCAACAGCAGCAGCAGCAGGAGGAGCAGGCGCTCAAGCGTAGTCAACCTCTGACCTTCTGCTCCACCATGGACGAGATCTCAGACACGGAGCTGGACAGCATGCTGCAGGAGGTAGAGGCGGACATTGAGGAGGAGACAGAGGCAGCCGCTGCCTCCACATCCTCCTCAGACTCCTGCCTGCGCCAGCCACACGGAATGATGGACGATGATGATGATGAAAGCGCCTCCATATCGCCTGCCACGGAGGAGGAATCGGTGCGCATACTCTCCGAACAGGAGACCAACTCGGCCGATCAAATGAATGTGGACAACTTCTCCCAGGCATCCACAGTGGAGTTCGCCGAGCTGCGCGCCACAGAGGCAGCGCCAGTCGTGGCGACGGCAGCCGAGGAGGTTGAGGTTGAGGCGGAGGCCGAGGCTTCATCCTTCAGCAGCACAGCGAGCGATACGGACTCGCTGTCTGGACGCAAACTGGAGGAAGACGAGGAGGAGGATAGCGTAGCCACGGATGCGCTAGAGACACAGGAGCAACGACCACAACGTCCACAAACCTTAGATCTGAATGCAGGCCAGCAGGCGACTGCGGGACAAACTCCGCCGCCAGCTGATCAAGCGCAGGCCCAGTCGCAGTCCGAGGATGCGCCAGGAGCCGCCGCTGTAGTTGCAGAGGGTGAAGAGGACGACGATAGCCCCATCTATGAGGCCGTCGGCTACAGTGATCCCCATGCCAATCTGGGCAAGGTGCCGCCCATCTGGGTGCCCGACAATATGGCCGGCCAGTGCATGCAGTGCCAGCAGAAGTTCACGATGATCAAGCGGCGTCACCATTGTCGTGCCTGCGGCAAGGTGCTCTGCTCCGTCTGCTGTTCGCAGCGCTTTCACCTGCAGTTCGCCAATGAGCCGGAGTCGCGGGTCTGCGTGCAATGCTTCATGATCCTCACCGAGCGACAGGCAAATGGCGGCGTCTCGGATGCCTATGCGGGTGCACCGCCCTCGGCGCTGCCGCCCACGCCCATGCGCTCGCCAAATCCCAATAATCCCATGGAGTATTGCTCGACGATACCGCCGCATCGTCAGGTGGCCGCCGAGGGTGCTCCGCCGCCCAGCGTGATTGTGCCCGTGGGCGTGCTGAAGAAAACGGATGGCAGCTCCTCGAATTCCTCCAGCTCGGATGGCAAGAAGGGGCGCAAGCGCAAGAGCGTCATGTTCAGCGATGGCATTGCGCCGGGCAGCGAGCTGGCCAGCACAATGGAGCAGCAGTGGGGCGAGACCAAGCAAGCGCGTCGCGGCCTGCAGCGCAGCAACAGCGGCGCCGGCGCCGGCGCTGCAGCCAGCGCCAATCAAAAGCCGCCCACACCTGGCGCAGCCAGTGGCAGCAGCGGCAGTGGCAGCAGTATTGACAATAGCTCCACCATGGGTCTGGTGGCGCAGCTATTCCGCGGCTCCATACCGCCCAGTGCGGCGGCGGCAACGCTCACAGCGGCCGCCGGTGGCAGCCAAAACTCAAGCGGTAAGCGAACAGGATTTAATTTGGAGCAACTTCAACTCTCTCTCTCTCTCGCTCTCTTTCGCTCTTTCAGCTGGTCGCAATACAGCGCAAACCTCGCCGCGTCGCAAGGTCGAGCCGCAGCGTTCACGCAAGCTGCCGCCAAGCGATGCCCAGGGCTGTTTCATACCCTACGAGGAGAACGCACTGCCGCCCATCTGCATCAGCAGCAACGGCAGCAGCAGCAGCAGCATCTGTGATGTGGAATACAAGGAGGTGCGCAACGATGCGGATCTCCTGGAGCGTCTGCAGCGAGAGACGCTCAAGTTCATTGTGAAGAACAATTTCTATGTGCTGGTCAAAGTGGTCAACAGTGAGTAAACCAGCCTACGTATCCATGGCCTACTCCTAATCCCTTTCCGATTCCCTCAGTGAGCTGCTGCATGAATCGCTGGGTGCTAAACTTTACCACCTCGGGTCTGCATCATGTGGGCAACGATGAGTTGATCATTCTGCTGGAGATTAAGCCACCGCCGGCGGCTGCCAATGGCGGGCCGACGGTGCCGCGTGATATATTCCAGTATCTGTACGAGATCTATGTGGAGGCGGAGCAGGCGCGCTCCAGCACACAGGAGCTGGCCTTCACCAGTCCACGTAGTGCCAACTTTTTGGGCTCGCGCGAGCACGGCGGCTTCATCTACATCCGGCCGACGTATCAGTGCCTGCAGGGCGTCATTGTGCCGGAGAGTCCGTATCTGGTGGCCGTGCTCATCCATCGGCACGAGGTGCCCTGGGCCAAGGTACTGCCATTGCGTCTGATCTTGCGCCTGGGCGCTCAATATCGCTATTATCCCTGTCCGCTGATCTCGGTGCGGAATCGTGAGTCAGTCTACGGCGAGATAGCGCAGACGATTATCAATTTTCTGGTGGATTTTCGCAACTATACGTACTCGCTGCCGGCCATACGCGGCCTCTACATCCACATGGAGGATCGGCAGACGACTGTGATTATACCGCGCTACAGGCAGAACGATGTCATCAAGGCGATCAACAATTCCACCGATCACATTCTTGCCTTCGCCGGCAACTTCTCCAAGGTGGCCGATGGCCATTTGGTCTGCATGCAGAACATCAACGACGATCGCTCCGAGATGTACGCCTACTCCACGCAGGCGATCAATATACAAGGCCAGCCGAGGAAGGTGACGGGCGCCAGTTTCTTTGTGCTGAACGAGGCGCTCAAGAGCAGCAGCGGACTCTCCGGCAAGTGCAGCATTGTCGAGGACGGCCTGATGGTGCAGATAATGCCCGCCAAAATGGAGGAGGTGCGTCAGGCGCTGCGCAATCAAACCGACATCGATATCGTGTGCGGCCCCATTGCGGCCACCGATGAGCAGAGTGAAATAGTCAGTATCAAGTGGGTGGACAATGATCGGGAAATCAACGTGGGGTAAGATTGTGAACTAACTGTTAATTAGCAACTATACTAATTGCTAAACTTGATTTATATTCTAGCGTCAAGTCGCCCATCGATGAGAAGCCCATGGATGGTGTGGCCAATATGCGCGTGCATGCCAGCTTCAACTATTCCAATGCCAATTATGCAATACGTTTGAGCGATATTTTCATAATCAAAGTAACTAAACTAAATACTGTATTAGTTTTATAATGCATATTAATGAATTTCCATTTTATAGTGTGAGGATTGGTATGCCACAAACGGTGGCAACTATGCGGACATCACACGCATTGCCGAGCAGCTGGCACGCAGTGCTTCGATGGCGCTGCTGCCATTCCTCGATCTGCTCGCCGCAGCGGGCATTAATAAGCTAGCACTGCGAGCCACGCTCGATCAGGAGAACGTAAGCAATCGACTCGCCAGCAAAGGTGTTAATTAACAATAATAATTAATAATCTTATATTTTTTTTTGTAGGTCTGCTATGAGGCGGGTGCACGTGGCTCGAAGCTGCCGCCGCTTTATATGAATGCGCTCGATAATCATCTGATAGCCACACTGCATGGCGAATCGTCTGGCATTCAGGATCCTATTATATTGGAGCTAGTTTTCTATATACTAAACGCCTAAGAGCTGTAGTGCAATTGCTGTTCTCCCTCTCCCTTCTCCTCCTCCTCTCACAAAACGACATCGAACTCATGTACTTTCGTAAACTTTCTAATCATGCCTACCATGCCCATCAACTGCTGCTGTTGCCCGTCCCGCCCCGCCCCCATCCAGTTAATCGTACTCACCTCCTTCGGCTGCAATGCGATGGCGCAATTACTGTATATAAGTAGTACATGATATATATTTATATATTCTGTATACTATCGGTGTTTTGTTTGTTTTAAACTCGCCTCTGTTTCTGTGTACCTTCATAAGCCGATGCAAATACTTTTGTAATTTTCAATCTTTTATAAACAAAACGTAGACAAGAATTCAGCGTTGGCATTTGGCAGCCTTTTATACTCTAAAGAAATTTTTTTTTTTCGCTACTTTGTAAAACGTCAACTTTACGATAAATGGATAACATATAGAACAGATAATAATAACAATTGTATATGATGTTCTCCTTATTATATCCCTGTATATTTTCGATTTGAATATAAATAATGACTATATAACTGTTAAAATCAATTGGTGTTTTATTTTGTTTTGTTATATTTCATAAAATGTTAAGCAAAATTGTTAGAAAATTTAAGATTTTTAAGATTTTTGTTCAGTTACATGAAATTAAATTAAATATTTTATAAAATGAGAAAACCCAAAAGCCCAAATTTCCGTAAGAAAACACAATTTTCATTATTAAATAATTGTGATAATTGTTTATTTAATTTAATGTTCCACTTTTACGCACAATTTGTAAAAAAATGTTTATTTAATTGGCAGACACAACGTTACACAAATAAGTTACAAACTTGAATATAACAACCTATAAATGTATATAAAAATCATTTAACGCCAATTCTGCTCCTAGGAGAGCATTGAGCATTCGTCCAGTTGTTGCGTGTGTGTATGTGTGTGTGTGTGTTTGTGTGAGGAGAGGAAACCAAACCGGAGCACAGAATCGTAGTGGAAGAGTTGTTACAATAAATCGCTTAACATTCTATATTTATGCATATACTATATGATCTATATGTATATATATATATATGGTGTAGTATATACAAATATGAATGATGTTGCCAACGAAAATAATATATTTTTTTTCTCTTGAAGGGCGGGCAAAAAACATTAAAAGCGCCCCTGCATTTTGGGGTGTAATTGAAGGGGCGTCAGTCCACTCGTTCTTTCATTGTTATTGGAATATGTTGTTGTTGTTGTTGTTGTCTCATGTTCATGTGTCGCGTGTTGCTTTATTTGTTGTTGTTGGTGTCGCTGTTGTTGTTGTTGTTGTTGTTGTATTGGTATTGGTATTTATACATAGATAGTTATAGATAGATTATAACTTAAGCACTTGTCCTAGCCGCAGACTTACAGCTCATCATGCTTGGGACCCGAGAACTCGTCGTGCGAGATGAAACCATTCTTGTCCTTATCCTCATGCTGGAAGATCTCCTCGACCAGTTTGTCGTTCTCCTGCAGCATATTCTTCAGCTCATCCGAGTCCTGACCCTCCACAGCGGTCATCTGTTTCTTCAGATATTCACTGACCTAAACAGACAAGCGAAACAAATCGAACCCACATATTATAGCAAGTACAGGGCATAGCAACCATGAGCATTATGAAGAATGAGGTTAGTAACGAACCGAGACCCACGGATATATCACATATAGAGTGTAGAACAATTACAAAATGATAAAAGTGCGATCCATACATAGACGATTACCTCTTCGCGGCTCAGCTGCTTGTCGGCGTTCTCATCGATCTCCTTGAACACATTCGTGGTGGGCGGCGCATTGCCAATGTTGATCAGCTCCACATCAAAGACCAGTGTTGCCTTCGGTGGGATCACATTGCCGGCACCCGCATCGCCATAGCCCAGCTGTGGGGGAATTGTCAGCTTACGTTTCTCGCCTAATCAATAGATAATACAATATATAACGATATTAAATGGATATTTCATTCAGCTCCACTCACCGACACACATGTCCAGCAGTCCCTGGTCCCAGCCCTTAATCACCTGTGCATGCAAATAATATATTTAATGTGTGAACTCTTGCCAAAATTCTCCACAAAATTGTTGTGGCATTCGAGTTGAAACGTTTAACTCACCTGTCCGGCGCCCAATTGGAATGTGAAGGGCTGGTCGCGGTCAAAGCTGCAAGAGAGAGAGACAGAGAGAGAGAGAGAGTCAAAAAGAGAATTTGAGTATGAGCTGATGTCGCAGAGTCGCAGGCAAATTGTTAGACGCTTGTTAGCCGCAAAGTTTCAAGTGCAACTTGTTTGCGTTTTTTTGTAGAAAAGGTGTTGCGACAGGGGAGTACACACACACACACACACACACACACACACACACACACACACACACACACAGCACATTTATCACACACACAGGCACTGTCAACTGGCTGCACTTCGCACATAATCAAGAGGCATGCCACATAAAAAAAAAAACACATTTTAAAACAATACATCATTTTTTATGTCCGCTTGGTTTTTGTTAAGCTGGGGTGCTGCTAAGGGGGGAGGGCTGTAAAAAGCGACAAACATACGGGAAATTATTTGTTTAATGGCCCGGTTTACAGCTATGCTTAAGCTAAGCGAATTACTTTAATTCGTAACGCACACATCTCCGCGTCTACCGAGAGCTGAGATAATATACGACGCTTATCATAATCAGCTGTTCAGGTATGCATGGAAACCACCCCACCTAGCTCTCTCCCTCTCCCTCTCTCTAGGTGTTGTCCATATACATATACGAAACTTGAATATGATGTATGATGTGGCACAGTTGCAATAGAAGAGGCGTATAATTTGATGCTTATTATGTGCTTTACGAGTAGGCGGAGCACTATGAAAGAGCTCTTCAAGGAGAACATTAAAAAGAGATGCGAAATGGGCATAGATGGATGTGGAATTTGGCTGAAGGTGAGAATCTCAAGCTGATAAATATTATAAATAAATGAGAGGATTCACTGAAACATTTTGAAAGTGAAAATGAAGGTATTGGTGGTATCTGTTTTAAAGAGCTGCTCTTAAAATTACTAATATATGAAATGGAAATTTATTAATACATTAACAAGTTCTTCACTAACCCATTTAGCTTGGATTTAAAGAAAAAAGTAAGTTTTATGTAAATAAACAAAAATAACTACATTTGGGCATGCTGTATTTATATAGAGATAATGTTAAAGATAAAGTTGGCATGATGATAAGAAGGCCTTGGAATATGTTGAAATCTTTTTTTTTTTTTTTTAACAGCATTTAGAACAGTATTATAAATAATAACAAACAAAAATAAAAAAAAAATAATAAAAAAAATAAAAGTAAGTTAAATATCATCATTTTCCATTCAATAAATTTACATAAATCTTCTCTGTAATATCTCTCAAAATATACTAAATAGTACAGCGATTTCTATGTTGGCATATTGCCAAGAAATTAAACTTTGATTTTGTATGTATGTCTCGCAAGTCAATAATAAACAGCTAAAGAGGCGTCAGTCGCAGTCTGAGTATGCCCCTCGGGTTAAGAACTTGCAATTGGAAATGTGTCACTTGGGCATGCGGAAGGAAACTTTCAGGATTGCTGTTGTTGTTTAATATGTTTCTCTCTCTCTCTCTCTCTCTCTCACTCTTTTATGAAAAACTTGGCGACTTTTAACAACTTTTTACCGCCCCGCTCACCCATTCTTCTCCTGTCTCGCATCTCCCCAGTTGACGATCATTTTTTAATGAGCCAAAGAGCTGCTGCAGCAGCAGCATCTCTCGAAAGTGGGCGTGGCGGCTCTAACAGATTATTGCAACAGGCACAACAAATGATTAACAAGACGACGCATGACACCCATACGGCGGGGAGTTGACAAAAGTTGGCTACAACTTCTATTGCCCCAACATGGGCCTCCCCTCCTACTTCCCTTCCTTCCTTTCCCCTGCCCCTTCCACTTCTCCCGCAGCCGTTGTTTTTTTGCGGCGTCTGTTAAATATTTTATGTGCATCTCCTGGGCATTTTGCAAACATTTTTACATTTTTTACATGCTTCAGCCTTGTTGGTTTGTTTTGTTGCTGTTATCTTGGAATCACAAGTTGTGCCGGCTCATGATGATGGCATGCGGATTGGCGCTGCCCGCGGACTAATCCAACCAACCGAAAAAGTGCTACCTCAAGTGCGCCAAGGAGTTGGAGCGTAACCAAAGTGTCGTCGTCCTCCTCCTCCTTCTCCTCCTCCTCCTCCATCTCCCACTGTGGCTTTCGCCTCGCCTCTGCTCAAGTGCGGCAAATCTCTTGATGAAATAAAAAACCGTACAAAATTTGTCTGGCAAAAAAAAAAGTACAGCGCAGCAATGGCTAAATCACAGCATGACCGACAGGTGAATGCTCTCGGTGATGGCCTGGTTAATATTATTTTAAGATTGCGATAATAAATGACAGTTGATCTTAGTTAAATATTATACGAGTTAAAGATCATGGAAACCCGATAAGTAGATGATAGATCATAAAAATATAGAACATATCTTATATACATAAAATATAAATATATATATTTAAATGTTATATATATAATGTAATATGATTACTGCGCAGCTAAATCTTTTAAAGATTTGAGTTAGACGTTTTTAAGAGTTTTTAAGCAACTTTTTTGAGTTAATATCTAAAGAAATCTAAGCTCAAATGATTTTTTAGGACTAATATATTATCGAAGAGATAGCATATATTATAAAAATATAGTAAATATATCTAATATAATATTACCCTATACTATATATACCTTTTGCACAAACAGAGCTCAGCCTGCGTTACACATTTCATGTCAAATTCGTAATACTCTCTTTGTGAGCGCATTAAAAGGAAAGCAAATGTCAAACAGCCACACACACACACATAGAGCCGGGCACTTCATGTGTCTGAGTGTGTGAGTGTGTGGAGGATTACGGCCTTTAAGACACAGTCACAGCCCCAACCAACAACCAGTTGTAACCGCGTCGCAGTCGACGCTTGGCTGTGAATTTTTATTGCATTATTTTCCATGAATTTCTAGTAATATGTGCAAATTTTATAGCATCTCACATGTGTCTGTGTATGTCTATCTCTCTCTCTCTCTCTCTCTCGCTCTCTCTTTCGCTCTGCCCCTTCTCTTTCCGTTTGGCTGTCTGCTCAGCTCTCACTGACTCAGCACGCACAGGTGATTGGGGGGATTGTGTAAAATTGTTGGCATTTGGGCCGTGGGTGCTGCTGCTCCTGCTGCTCCTGCTGCATATCCTGCTAATTTATGCGATTTACGGCAATAAATGTTACAAAAATAAAGCCGCGTGTCCTTATTTATGCCGTTGATCAATGTTAATTGTAATGCAGAGAGAAAGTCGAGCGATGTTTGAAGAGGGAGAGAGAGAGAGAGGGAGCGAGGAAATGAAATCTTTTTGATAATATATGTATTGTATTAATAGACAGAGTTCGGCCTAAGAGTTTATATACTCCTAAGGTAGATAATTCGTTTAAGCTATGGATAAGTTAAGCATGATCTATTCTGACTAAATTTCATATATTTAGTTAATAAACATTTTTAAATTACGTTCTAAAAATGTTTCGTCATCAAACAAAACGAAAACGTCTCCTTTCCCTTTTCTCCTTTTCGACATCAATATACTCTATCAATATATATTATATTATATATCCTATACCCTATAAAAATAATCTAAATAAACCAAAATTTCTTAATGTTCAATATTTTCCGCTTTTTAGGCCCATCCTTTAAAAAAACCCTCCGAACAGGTTTACATTTACACAAATCATTAAGCTTCAATTAAAGCATTTAAGCGTAGCGCTCGCAATGCGTTGAATAAATTAATAAAATCGTTTAAATGTGTTGATTGTTTCATATGCTCAGATCCGTAGCTGTATCCGTCACCAGCTCAGCCAGCCAGCTGCACAGTGTCCCCAGGCATGCAAAATTGATGAGGCGCCATGGCTGATGCAATGCCCAAACAAAAGGTCAGTCCGCTGTGGCAGGAGCTGTTGGCACAGGTGTCTCTCTCTCTCTCTCTCTCTCTCTCTCTCTCTCTCTCTCTCTCTGTCTCTCTCTCTCTCTTTCTATAAACTGGCTAAACAGGCGCTTCACAGAACTGCAAAAAGTTGTACAACAAAATGTTATGCAAAAGTCGACGCGTTTCACTGGCGTTTCGCAGGCGTTTTGCGAGCGATTTGCGTGCGTTTTGCGCGCGTTTTCTGCGTGAATTGCGATGCGCATTATCATAAAGTCAAACAAGAAATGTAAACTCATTTTTTGTTGGCTAACTGACTGGCTGGCTGGCTGACTGGCTGGCTGGTTGGTTGGCTGGCTGGCAGCAGGAATCGGCTAAATATTTAATAAGTTTCGATTTCATTCAGCTCGCAGGCAATGCCATTGGAATTTTTATGCATTCAGGAGCATTTAAAATGCAGCTCAATGGGCACAAAAAAGAAAAACACACACACACACACACACACACACACACATACACACAGTAAAGAGAAGGCAACACATCCGTTAACCTTAACCATTACGTGATTCCCAATCCGATGGAGCGTCGAGACGAGTCGAGTCGAGTGAAGAGTTTGGTTTGGGTTTGTCTGCTAAATCATACCACGCCACTTGCCACACACACACACACACACACACACACACCCAGACACACATCCCCACACACAATCCAATCAAATTGAATCCTTTGCCGGTACGGCATTCATTGATGACCTCGTTTTATGTGCGTCGTTGTCCGAAGTTATAAAATCAAATATGCGTCCGCTTCAACAAAAAGCCGTAGACGAAGCAAACCGCAAATCCTCAACGGAGACTTGGCAGCGACAAAAGGCAGCGCCGAGAGCGATTAACGTGCAACACGGTGGCAGTTGTCAGTCTTCGAGTTCTTCTCGGCCTCTCGACTTCTGGGCCTCTCTGGTCAATGTGCGAACAATTCGCAGCTGGTGAATTTTTGTGCCGCAAATTTATGCCAACTGCTGCCTGCCGCCACCCAAGCCACATCACGTGCCATGCGAATTGTTGCAGCCTTTTTTTTCGCCTTCTGCCACTCAAAATAGAGAAATTTATATGTGCAACTTGTGTACATATTTCGCAGCGAGCACATTAATTATTTAAGCTATCTGCGAATGTGCGCTGCACACT